CACTCAAACCTTTTACCAGCATAGCCATTAACTCAGAAAATTATAGAGCATCTATTCTGGCCATGTTCTTTATGAGACTGAGTTGATGTTAAAAGTACAAATCTTTGTTGGCATTGTGGTAATGGCATTATTTGGTCTATTAACTAGCAACCAGACTAATAAAGTCAGCATGAAACAATGTTGTGCTATATGGCTAAATTGAAAGTCCTCATCCCTCGTAGCCTGAAGGCAGACTCGAGAGCTAATCCTACTCCAGGTGTCTGTAAGAGTCAGAAGCTCTATCTGCTGCTCCGAGCTGCCTCCCTCACCCCCATATGGGTAATTTGAAGGCATGCTGCTGCTCTGCCCACTGCTCTAACTCCAGGGACGGGAGTGATACTGGCTACAAGTCCAGGCAGACTGTTCCTCCTGCAAATGGCTGAGGAAAATGATTGTGTGGGAGATGGTGCCAAGCGAGGAGAGAAAAGGAGCAGCCTGGAAGAAAGCTTCCAAACACACACTCCCACTGCAGAGGCACTTTATGGCTGTCCTGAGGCTGGGGGAGATGAACAAGCAGCTGCAAGCTCTTTCCAAGCTGTCTGCTTGCCAGCCTTTTCTCTGGGCAGCTTGTGGCACAGCCAGCTGTGAGAGCAGCACAAGGAGGTGTAACAGCTCTGCCTCCTTGGGAGCACTCTGCTGCTCCACAGAGCGCTGAACAGCGTGGGCCAAGCGGCAGGCAAAAGGCAGGGTCTTGTCCACTGCACCGGATAACGTTATCCTGGTTTTTTAGAACAGCAAAGTAAGAAAGGTCAGAAAAAAAGAAAAAAAAAAAAAAAAGGAAGAGATAACCTAGAGAAAAGGCAGAAGGCAGAATGCAGAAGGAGACAGACTCAAAATATGCAAGGTACATGGAAGAAATGCAACAGCCACCAGAAATAACTAGGGAACATTATTATAATGTTGAGAAAATATACAAAATGTCAAACAGGCATTTACTAGGTCCCTGTCCTAAAAAAAAAGAGCTGAGTTCCTGCGTATTCCATGGAGATGGTGAAGATGTCCCTCTTCCAGAGCAGGATTCACTCCTCTTCCTGGAAATAATTCATCCTGCTCTTCCTGGAAATAATTCATCTTTGTTTCATAACCCGTCGCCTCCTGGATCCCATCAGAGGCTGCCCTATTTTGGTGGCACAGTATATATAATCCGTGTGTATGAATGCATAGGAATGTATTACATGGATACACACAAATGCATGAAAGCGCATTGAAGATGTCTTGATGAAAAAATATATATATGGAGAGATTTGGATTTAACCTTATTAGCCAATTATTTTCTCCCCTTGAGAGGGCTGCTTTTCTTTAAGATTGACTTTCATTTTTTCCCAGTGTTCCATGACTTGGGGTCCTGAAGATCTAGAAATAGGGTATATTAGTAAGGGTATCATTATTACTTTGACAGCTTCCGCAAACTTAGTTGGACGAGCAATGACTCATTACCCATCGAACAGTGTTTTCCCACTTCCCCAACTTCCTCTGCCTCCAACAGTGCAACACCCGGGAGCCTCCCAAGTGCTTTATAAAACCATGAACGGCGTGATCCGTCGCAGGCATCTCCTCCCACGTTTGCTTTGGGAAGACAAGCATGGAGGGAAGGCCAGGCCGGAGAGATGAGACACACAGGCAGCCCCGAGCGCAGCCGAGTCTGTTCCCGACCCTGCTCAAAGCGGGTTTCACGCGGCCGGGGT